GTGATCCCTCCAGGCCTCTCCTCTCCCTGTCCTAAGGAAGGAGCTTTTTTCCATTTGTGGGGCTTTTGTTGATTGTTTGTAGCAGACCCAGGGAAGAAAGGGGCTCTGGCTCATTTACCAGCCATGAAACAGCGTGCTGTCTCCCACGCTGCAGCAGCGGGAGAAAGTGGGAAAGTCAAAGCTGTTAGAGGCAGAAATACAGAGATGGGGAACTGGAGTTACAGAATCTGCAGCCGGTGTGAAAGGGCCCTTAGCTGGAAGTGCTGAATGCAACAGGAGCAACTTGGCAAGAAAGCCTTAAACTGCTTGTGGTGGAAATGCAACAGCAAGATCGAGCATTTCAGAAGCAACAAGATTTTGGGTGTCTTATTCCTGTTCTGAGTGAAGAATGGTGTCCTGGTGTGTCACTTGGAAACCAGTCATCCAGAAAGTTATGGAAACTCCCCCTGCCTTTCCATACTGCCACAGTAACTAGATATTTTTGTCCGAATAGTTAAAGGGAGTGACTTCCAAGCGTTCTTAGCAACGGCCGGTATCTGGAACCTCAAGGCAATGGTTCCCTCAGCCCCTCCTCTCCGAGGCTGCAACCACAGTTTTAAACCAAAAAAAGCCCAAATGCTCACACAGTCGAATGGCTCAGCTTACCCATATATGGTAGTAACCATGACAACAGGGTAGCCTGAGGATTCTGTGTGTATGGGCTGTGTTCTCTCGGATGTGGGTGTGCGCAGCATGGCCCAGCCTGCCGTTTCTCCTGCCCTTTTCTCACTCCTCTCGTTTCTCCCTCCTCTGTAAATTGGCAGAGCAGTCTGGCCCCTACTGTCAGCCTGCGGTGACGTCAGTTAAGCCTCGGTTCACCTGGCTGCTTCAAATATGGCTGAGTTCAGTTGCCTGCTTTTTGTTTCTTCTTTTTCTCCTTCCCCGAGGATGCAGCAGAGTGACCTCATTCAAAAATGTTAGCCATCTTTTTTTTTTTTTTCTGCTTGGCCTCCCGTCATTGTGGTTTAAATTGGACAGACTTTTTCCACACCTACTAACTGCTTTTCTGACCAATGTAAAGGAGCAGCCTTGCCTGTTTGGCCAGGTTGCATGTGCCAAAATATACCTACCAAGGCACCTGGAGGAGAGGTGTGATTTAAGCCCCTTTGTCCAGTGAGCCTTCATATTAGCCCATCATGCTATTTAATGGTCCCTGACCACTTTCAAAGCAGTACTGGCAAATGTCTTGTACAGACCATCAGCTCACCAGTTTTGATAGGAGATCAGTAGGTTGTGGTCCTGCCTTAAGATGTCACTTAGAGGAGGGAAGTAAGCAATTTTGTTGCAGGGGTCAACTTGCTTCAGCTCGGGTCTAAAGCTGGTACATGACATGACTGCTTATGCCCAGTTCAGTTTTCTGTACCAGCTCTATCCTCTCCTTCTATAAAGGGTTTAAAAAAAAAATGAACAAGCCATTCCCATGTCTCTTAGAGGCCAGGACCAGCAACACAAGCTGCGATTATGGAGATAGTAGCTCTTACGACTGAGGCTGGGATTGAAAGCTTGAAAAAAGACCCCGTAAGAACACCACTATGACTAGGGGTCTGTGAAACTCAAGGTGGCTGCTGGATGATTTCATGCACAGACTGTGGAGCTGGCAACCATTTTCATAGGTGGAGTGCAACGCCTCTGGCCAAGAGTCTCCAGTAGCCCCATCCCTTGCTGTTCATTGGTTACAAGTCCTGTCTATTATGTGGTCCCTCCCCTCACCAGTGATTAGCAAGGGGCGAGGCCATATGACAAACAGTCCTCAAAGCCAATCAGCAATGGAGGACAGGGGTGGCAGCCAACTTGCTGTGCCAGCAGCAGCACGACACCCTTATTCCCGACACTCACAGCGGGCTGCACAGCCAGGCCGCAGCGGCCACAAGGACTGCTGGCTCCCCATAAGGAGACAGCATTTTATTTTTGGTGAGTTGTTTTGTTTCGTTTTCCCTAGGGAGCCTGCCAAAAGTGTAAAGGTTGTGATTTTTTTCATGGGGTCTGCCCAAAACCACAGTTTCCGTGTAAATTGCAAAAATCACAAGTTCAGTAGGTCCCTAGCTATGACTAAAACAGCACCCTACAGTAGTACAAGAGAAGGAATACAGGGAGCTACTTTGGTTTCCATTATTTCTTTAAAAGATAGTTTTCTGTAATTTTTTTTTTTTTTTTTTTTGAGCTTACAAAATCAAATTTAACAGACAGATGGTTTCAAAACTATCAGTGCCTTCACATAGGTTTATAATCCTTGTTCAGTGATTTGGAAGAAGGGCAACTTTAAAATCCTATCTATATTGACCACAACTACTCTTTAGTCTCTTTTTTCTTTCTGTTTTTGGTTGGGGTAGGAGAGGTCACAGCCCAAGCAAGTGGCTTTGAGGTTGAGGCTTCCTGCTCAGTTCATTCATGAAATACTGTGGCTGGAAATACAACACAACAGTAGAGTGCTAGTTCTCTCCAGGCTGAGAACTTTATGCACCTATCTCTGCATGGAGCCAAGGCCTTTCTGTTGAATTTCTTCTTGGGACTTTCTCTTTGCTTTGTAAAGAAGTCTGTCATGAGGTGCCACCAACGCTACCTGCACTTGCTACGCTGCCAAGCTAGCCTATGACAAGAGGTGACTTAATAGCCTAATCATGCAAATAAGATGGACATCCTGGCTCAGTTTTTCAACTGGTCAAGTCCTTTTACTTTTCTACCTGGTTTCAAAAGTGCAACTTGAGTACAGCTTGTGTCTGAACTAGGGATTATAGTGGGGCCCCTAACTAGCTGGGCTGTTGACTGGGTCAAAGTCCTGGCTTCCTGAAGTGCCAAGTCAAACTCCTAGGTATCTTGCTGTCTTTTTCTTCCACTTCTTGCCCTTCCTTGCAGCACTAGACACTGTCTGAAAATGAGCAGAATGATTTAATGTCACAGGTAAACTACAAACTCTGTTGCTTTTATTATTTTAATATAGGAAGGATTTTTTTCCTTATTACAGTGTTCAACTTATAAGCGGTTATACAGCAGTGTTAGACTGGGTAGGGCTTACCCATCCACAATCCCTATACGCAATCTGAACCCCCTCCCCCAAGATAAGGTGATTCCCAGGCCAGCCACAGAATTTTTTTCTCCACTAAAATACTGTTTTCACTCCTAATCCATTTCCTTTTCTTCCTTCCCCCTCCCCCAACCGCACCCCCCCCCCCAAGAACCAGTTGTATCTTTTAAGTATGGTCTTGATGTTCACATTCTGTATTTACAAAAACAAATCTTTGAAACATATCAAATGCAAATTTTAGGATTAGATTGATTACTTAAATCACAGGTACAAAGCATCCATAATTACAGTTTCCATATGGATACATTCTAGAGCTCATCAGACCTATTAATTGTTCATAATGCATCTTGCAAAGGCTAACTCAACTGGAAGCTTGGTGCATTGGACAGAAAAGTACAGTGCGTCATTCGAAGTATTTTTCCATATGTTTATCTAGTCAGCCCATTCCTGTGTCCGTCCATAATTAAAAGAGATGCACTGCCTTGTATGGTACAACTTTTTGGACCCAATGTTTTTCAATATTTCCCTCAGTTTCCTTCAATATTTTTTTTATGGGGGAGAGGGGGAAGAAGAAAATTTTTAAAATACACAAACAAAAAAATGTACAGTAAAAAGCCCTCTCTCCTCTGTCTTGGTAAAATGCAGGCTGCAGTGGGATGTAGAAATAAACAAGCTAGCTGTAAATGACCAATGTATGTACAGTAGCATAGTACCATGTGGATTAATTTTCCTTACTGAGAAGTCAAGTAAGTTGAACTACATGGGGCATGTCTATACATACAATTATAGCGTTTGAATAAACTGTGGAGCTTATTGGTGTGGAGTTAATTGCTCCTGGGCACACCGTTTGAACATGCACCTAGGAGCAATTAACTCTGGAGTAATAAGATCTGCAGTTTATTCAGGCACAGCATGTGGAGCCCAAGTGGAGCAGTCCTGCCAGCTAGAGTCTACCACCCCCCCAGCTCAATGTGCTGCAGAGGGGCTGCCTGGGGCATGAGGGAGTTTCAGCGTGGGTCTAGCCAGCAGGCAGCCCCAACACTGAAGCACCCTCATGCCCCAGCCAGCCGGGCACCATCTACATGTGTGCTGCTGTGAAGATTTATACTCTGCAGCAGGATGGTACTTGTCTTTACAAGTATTTAGAAGTATTTACAAGTGCTATCCTGCTCCAGAGTAAATTAGTTTACTCCAGCCTAATACAGGTGCATGTGTAGACACTGAGATATTTACTGTGCAGCTAATCAGTTTCAGTGTGAAAATACCCCAAATTTCTCCCCAATTTGCAGACATCAGTTCTATTTCTGACTGCTTAGAGATTAAATAAATTACAGAACACTGTGGAACACCAGAAAGGTAAAATACGCCTACCTGTATGTTGACACCTCTGCAGTGGGTGCTGTGAGACTCCACTTTGGATGTCATATAATTCATGTTCAATTCCCATTGGAGGCAAAATATCTCCATCTTTCTCTCTCCTCCCATATGGTACATTCCTGCAGAGAGAGAGAGAGAGAGAAACAATAGGATTCCCTCATTTCAGTGTTATAGTTTGCCATAGGTCTTTGTGTCCAGATTTTTGCATAAGTATGTTGAATAAGTAGGTAAAAAAATGACATTCATGCTGCTTGCCTGATGAGGGCTAATCTTTTGTTGTGGTTGTTAATCAAAAATCATGAATTATCTTTTAGGCAGTTGGGCCAACCTTACACCTGCTAAAAGTCATTAAGTTTAGTAACCACAATAAGAGTTGTGATTTTTTTAACAGCATTTCTGTACAAGCAAAAAAGCCAGTGGAGACAGATACCAGCAAAAGATTACTTTTGCCAGTAAAACTAATGGGACCTGCCAGATTCATGATTTTGTGATTTTTGCAGGAACCACGAATTTGGTAGGTCCCCTGTGAAAAAGCCTGGTCCCTGCAAAAAAACAGGAAAATAGCCAGTAGACAGGGGGAGCTGAACACAGAGGTGGAAAGCCCTGGCATTGTGAAGCACAGTGGCGGGGGGTGGATTTTCACAGTGGAGTGCAGTGACCGACAGGCCCTGGAAGTCCTGCCCTCCCCAGAGATTGAAAGGTGGCTATTTCTCAATCTTTGGGGAGAGGCAGGACTACTTCTGGGGCCCCTCAGCCAATCAGAGGCATGGGAGGGCCTGCTGCACTCAGACCACAAAATTGGGGGCCAGCCCCTACAAATTAGGTCAGTCCCTATCTATATCAATTTTGCCAGTATCACTATATCAACAAATCCTTTCTTGTGTAGACTAGAGAGGCCTCAGCTCTCTGAACAGCTCCACCTTCTGGTACTACATAATCAAGCTTGAGCAAGAGGTTTAAGATGGACTATGAGGATAAATAAACCAGTTGTAATGGATCATAAGAGCAGCAGATACTGCAAGTTTGATTCAGAAAGAAATAATTGGTAGGTAAGTGAATTTGACTTTTTACCATATATGTCAGTGGGAGCAAAGTTAGGCCAATGTAGAGCACTTTTGGAAATTCTAGCCTTTTTTCAGATAAAAGAATACTGAGATGACACAAAACCAATCAATGGCTTACATGAGTTTTTGTCATTTATACACATTGTTGGGTGCTTCTTATATCTAAAGAGCAGTGGAATTAAGTGGAATATGGTTTTGTGCAGATTACAGTGGAACATGCATTGAATTAAAAATGTCTGTTCAGGGTAGAAGGTCTGTGTTTCCAATAGTTCTTTAGGAATAAAGGTGTACTACATACGTTTTCCTTTGCTTGCCAAAGAGAGATGTGTGTTGAACTTTGGAGCACATAACCCTGTTTTTCAAAAATTCTACATCTGCTTTTGGTTGTACTTGTTACAGCTTTTGGTATTGGCCCATGCAAATACTGCGGATCACTGGAACAGTGTTGGCAAAGTAGGACCAATACTGCATGGACAATCCTACAGTACATGTTGCACCAGCTCCTCAAACTGGCAATCCTGGCATTGTGAGCTGTGGGCAAAGTGAATCTTACCAGCTTTTGACCATGAATCACTATATTATTTTACTGTAATTGTGGGCATGAACTCTTCTGTGCAGGCTTTGTGGGATCTCAGTGCAGGGTACTTTCAGGTAGTCCCTGCAGCATTAACTTTCTTCTCTCTTTTCCCTTCTTCTCAGCTGTTGTAGGTCCATATAACCTCTTATTATCTGTGACTTCCTTTTCCATGACCTTCATTTCTGAACTGAAGAAGTAACTCACTTTCAGGAGATTTATTACCAGAATGAATTAAATGTTCCAGCCAGTTTAAAAGCCATCACCAAATACCTGGATTATACATCCCCAAATCTATGGGTTCTTCATCCATCACTAAGACACTGATATGCCTGGACAGTTTGTTATATATGCAAATGTTCTTAATTTTGAAGTTGCTCCTATTTCTGTACTTTAGAAATCCCTTCTACCCGTAAGTCACAGCATGTTTTTATGTTGGGAGGGTGTAGGCAAGAAGAGTGTGACATAAGGGAGGATGTAGGCAAGAAGAGGATGTAGACAAGAGTGTGACATAAAGGTATGATCTGACAAATACAAGCTTTGAAAATGAAGCCTATTGCCAGCTATTGAAAGTGCCTTTTAACACATATGCAGATCAAGGCCACAGTGAACATGCTTTTTTTCTTTGGTGTGCATATAACAATGTATCCCCAACTATATAGCTGAACATTTAAGAAGTCAAATGATAGGTAAAGTCTGGAGGCAAATTATGTGAAAGATATCACATTAGACCATCCCTTATTCCTGTCCCCTTGAATTTCCTTGCAGGGAGGCAGGTTAGACAAACACCTTAAGCCTGATCCATTCAGAAAACTTGCAAGCACCTCCATCCACCCTTGCCCTCATGAAAGTACCTTAGAGATTAATTCATTCAAAAAGGCAGATGCTTTCAGAGGGAAATGAGGTTAAAAAAAGTGAGCTTGGTGCCTGATTCAAAGCAGCAGCAGAAGGAGGAAAAGATCTACAGGCAAGGAATTTAGACTAAATACAGGGTCCAGGAGATAGGTTTGCTGCCTGACTTGGAAGATTGCCTAAAGCGAAAGTGGGCAGGGTATGAGTGTATTAGGAAGCTTCCAGAACACAAAATCAAAGGCAAGACACAGCTAAAACTTTCAAACGTGTAGCTATTTAATACATATCTGTCTGTCCATATAGACTGTTAAAGAGACAGTGGCATTCCCCTGAACATCAGATCCTTAAGGTTACCTTATCACTGGGGGTGTCTACAAGTTCATTAATGTGCAGCAATTACAGGTACTAAACTTAATGTGCCATAATCAGTGCTACTGCACAGTAGTGCTGGCGCATGCTTTTTTCTTGACACTAATGCAAAGTAGACTAATTCGACTGTACATTAGCATAGTTTTTGCTAGCTGCGCAAATGCACAGTCGAATTAGTCTATTGCATCTTTAGCATGTTGTGTAGACATGCCCATTACGTATTTTATTGAACAATCTTACCTTATGATGTAGAACCCTCTAACCAGTAGGTACAGAACCCAAAGCTGCTTTAAACAGAACCTGTAAACAGTAAAAACAGGCTGGTAACCCATGAGTTGTATGGGTGGAAAAAGAAAAGCTTGCCCAAATCCTTGCCAATCTTTTCCTGTACATCCCCTTCTCTCTGGGCACATCTACACGATACATCTTAATGTGCAGTGAAATGTTCAACTGTGCATTAGTGCGTCACAGCAAAAGCCGTGCTAACGCTCAGTAGAATACGTCTGCTGCGCATTGTGTCAAAAAAAAGTTTGCCTTTTGCTACTGTATATTAGTGCAGCTACTGCGCCTTTATCTAGTACCTCATATTAGAGGTACTAAACTTAACGAGTAGTAGCAAAAGTTCATTAATGAACGTGTAGACATGCTAGCCTTGACTAGCATGGCTCTGCCTGCTTTCAGTCTTTGTCTGTCTCCAAAAGCCAGTGGCTGTTTTCTTCCTCTCCTCACAAAAACCAAATATTCTAACATTGCTAAATATTATTATGTGCTACGTACTATTTATATTACTTGTGGCTTCAACCAAGATTGGGACCTTATTGTCTTTGGCACTGTATGTACACATAGTAAGAGACAGCTCAGCTTTCAAATAGACTAAATAGGCTAGAGTCACTAGACAGACAAAAGAAGTATTATTTATCTCCATTTTACAGGTGGGAAATTGAGGTAGAAAGAGTTTAAGTGCCTTGCTTTCAGTCACATTGGAAGTGTGTGGCAGAACCAGAAATTGAACAGAGGTATTTCCCCTTAATTGACTTAATCAGTCCAATACCTTAGTCATAATGCCCCTTTTTTGTTGCCTCTAACCCACAGTGTAAGGACACAGCTAGGTGTCTGGGGTAGCTGCTGCGCACAGGAGCAGTGGTGACTTCTGATTGCTGCTGCCACTGCAATCACAATCTTACAGCTGCATCAAAGTGAGAGCCAGTTTTTTCACCCCCATATTCCTGTCAGCACCCAGGACTGTTGCCTCTGTCAACCTATCCTAGTTATACCACTGCCTCAAATGGACTTTCTATGAAACTGTAAGGACTGACTGAGAAGTTTAGGCTTATCCAACAAACCATTTAAATAGAGCATAAAATAAAAAAATAGTCCCAATGAGCAGAGAACAAGTAAATCACCATCCTCTACTAATTCCCCGTCATGGCAGCTTAAATTCATGCATGAAAAACCCACTCAAGATGCATTGTGGTATGTGCATTCCTAGTTCTCCATTGGTGTTAAAACTTAGCTTTGTAAATGACGGACACGCAACCTTTTTCTTTGCAAACAATGTGACAAATGGTGCTTGCAATTTGCAATGCCAGAAAACGTTCTGTGCCTTCAGTACATGACACTGGAAAAGTTAGTGTGCTCCTAATTCCTCAACTCCATGCTCAAGAGGCTGACACTTTTGTTTGTTTTCTAAACACTTTGAATGATGAGATTAAACTCCTCAGTGGCTTGATGGCACAAGTGGAAATAAATATAAAAATGCTTGGCTCCTGAACAGAGACTAGTTATTTACAATGGTGGAAAGTATGCATGTATTTTTGGTGCAGCACACTTGAATCTCTCAAAATATATTTAGTTTGCCTCCAAGCATTCATGTACAGCCAGTCAATGTCATTCAGTTTATCCTGCTGTTCCTTGCCTGTAAATGAACTTAGAAATAGTTGGCAGACTTGTGTCTGATTTCTATTAGGCTTCTAACTCCAACCTACTGTCTATGTAGTCTGAGATAAAGTGACAACAGCAGTACTTTTGACTGGGATAACAAAGTTTTTTTTAAGCTCTACAAAACCAGAAGTTTCTTTGTGTATGTTTGTGTGATAACTGTGCATCAATACACAAAAATTGAACACTTCAGTGTCAATAAACTCAGTAAATCAGAAAACTTAATCTTAATTCTGCCCTTTCTATTACATACTCTTAATTTTTTTTTCCCCTCAACTATTATATCTGTCAGGTACATCATTTAATAAATAAACTGGAATTTCTTCAACACTTACATAAGTTAAATTGCCATAGATTTCAGAATTACCTGAAACATACTTTAAAGGAAGCAACAATATTAAGAGTGAGTTTTCACAGTCTGTAACTACATTTCCTGAATTTCAAGTCCTTGATGTTTTTACCTTAATATCATGCTACTGTTAGTATGGAATTCTCTGTTCAAGTATCCAAAAACAGAAAAGGGAAGAGAAATTCATCAATGGGGCTTGTAAATTTTCTTAATCTTGGACTACGGAGTTTGATAATAACTTCCCAAATTCATGTCATCTTAATTCTGATGATTCCTAAATACCTGCCTTTAGCTCTGGACTGGTGCAAACTCTAAGTATGTTGAAAATTCAAGCTCTTTTAAAAGCATAGACAAGCAAAATTTTTAATCATTATGTAAAAGGAATCAGAGCTCATGGTAGCGGTGATATCTTTTATTAGACCATTTAGATTTTTGCCAAAAAAATTCTTTATTTGCAAGCTTTCAGGTACAAGTACACTTCTTCAGGCATACGAGACAATCCAAGGACATTCCAAAATAAATTACTTCAGCTCCTCCAAGTGTAAGAAAGAGTACTGCCAGGCTGGAAAGCATGGAATATATTGTGAACATGTATAAGTAAAACTATACATTCAATACCATTATCAGATTCAACAAAAAGTTATTTTACAATCTATGCCTGAAGAAGGGTACCCATGCCCAAAAGCTTGCAAATAAAGAAATTCTTTGCAAACATCTAGTTGGTCTAATAAAATATATCAGCTCTACCACAAGTTCTGATTCCTTTTGCCTCTAAACCAATACAGTTACAACCTGGATACTTGAGCACTATGTGACAGTTCTGATTTTAAAAGCACAGTTTAAAACTGTGGTATTCAACAGATTCATCCTCAAACTTGGCTTATTCTTTACAATTTACCAAAATAGATGAAGGAGGCTACTTGAGAAAGTTCAAACTTTGATCATGATTTGCAAAAAAATTTAGCTAAAATGGACATATCTCAGAAAACGGGTCCACTGTGTGTGTTCCAATTTTTCAAAAACTTGTCAGTACACTGAATATTGCAAAACACAAGAAATATTTTGCAGAAACTTGAGTGGCCAGAAAAAATAATTACAAGTAATGAAAACTGGAACTCAGTTAATTGTAGTGTAGTGTTTGGTCCATGCCAGATATAAAATATACATATAAATACAGGCCCAAGTTTATAAAAAGTGTGTCCAAAGATAGGCTTTTGAGTTCATATATAGGCACTGACCAAGGAGCCTGGTATTCCAAGTGTTGAGCAGCTTTTATGGCATGTGTTGTATTTATCCAAGGACATTCCAAAATAAATTACTTCAGCTCCTCCAAGTGTAAGAAAGAGTACTGCAGAGTGCTGCCAGGCTTGAAAGCATGGACTATATCATGAACATATATAACTAAAGCTATACATTCAATACCATTAACAGATTCAGCAAAAGGTAATGTCAGAGTCCCACGTGCACATTCTGTACTGTATCTCTCAGTATCCATGCCCAGCCCTTCCTCTTCTTGGTTGATGTCAATATCCTCAGAGGACTGTTTACAGATTGACTATGTTAAGGTTCAGGCTGCTAAAGGGAAAGGTTAAAAAAAATAGAACCCCAAAATTATCAAGATGAGCTGAATATCCAAGTAATAAATAAATAGGTAAAATCCAGCCTTATGGCTGACTGGTGGCTTGATGATAATGAATGGGTCCTTCCACAAAACAGCCCATGCTGGGCATTGCCACTGGTTGTCTCAGGTTACTTGTAACATACTTGGAGGGACACAAACCCATTGGGAAGAGCCCCAGTGAACCATCCACAGAATTGGGAAGTCTTCCAAAATGGGAACCATTTTTTTTTCCTATCTGAAGAAGCAAATATCTATCATCTAGCCAGGAAATTTATCAGCTTGAAGTGAAATCTCACTGCTGAATGACCACTACAATTACTTACCCATGGACAGATGCAGTGACTAGGCTGGGGTTGTGCCAGGAAATCTGTCTCTTGATGGCTTGGACTAAAATAAAGTTATTTTTTCTGTGTGTGTTGACTATTATTTGTTAAAAATAAAAAAGCCATTCCTTCATTATATAAAATGTTACATTAGCACTACACAGCTCTATAGAAAATGTCATCTGAATTTAAAATATGATTTCTTGGGAAGTTGTAAGAGGAGATGTGCTATAGTTCTAGGCAGTCCAAACTGGAAGGCAGAGGACTTTGAAACTGGCAGACATTTTTTTTCCCCTGGTAGATGCATGCCATCTTGGTTTCACCCGCTTGGGAAAATTCAGATCAGGAGCACAAATAAAGCCAAGAGGAGCCAGTTTTAGCCAAGGTTAAGAAACAACACAGTAATTTTGCTGTGGTTGTGCCAGGAAATTTGTATCTCATGAAGATCTGGGCTAATATAAAATTTTCCAGTAAAGGTATCATAGTATGTGTTGTGTGTCCACAGCCTTCATTCAGTTTAATTCTGTGGTATCCTTTAATTCAAGGCATGAGAGCTCTTCAATCGCCTAGTAGCCTGAACCTGTAAAAACATCTATTGCAGGCAGCCAGGTGGAGAGCTGTTTGTATGCCCACTCTTTACTGCATAGTAAGTTTACTATGGATTGCAAATCCAGGGTAAATTACTCCACAGTATTTGTATTGTGTGTCCACAAGCTAATTTGGGTGAATGGGCTTTAAATACTTTTCAAGGTTTCACCCTCTTTTCAGCGCATCCTTCTACCCTATGCTGTAGCCCTGTGTACTTAGATCTTTATCCACTGTTTTTTGTTCTAAAGAATGGCTAACCTGAAATTTAGCCCATTATTAAAAAGTAGTTTAAGGGATGTCACCTGCTGTGGAATGCTCATGACACTGTCTGTATTTTTAATTATTACCTATTATTTATTCTTATTGCTTCCCTGTTGGTGTCAGTTGTGCAAATAAGGGAATCTGGATGAAAATGGTGAAAGTGAATATCCAAAAAGGACTCTCAATTCAAGTGACTTAAAACTACGCAGGAAAACTGTGCATCATGTGCCCTCTCTGTTTTTACTACTATGTAAAGTCACTTTATTACACCTAAATGTATTGAGTGTCTGAACATTTACATTTTAAGAGAGGGGTAGGCAACTCCCAGCACCATGGATGCCAGAGCACGGCACACACAAGCATTTTGGTTGGCACGTGTGCCTTGGGGCAGACTGTGAGGAAGGGTTTGGGGCTGCACTGCCACAACAAGCCTCAGGCCCCTCACAGTTCCCCTGCCATCCCATCTTACAAGTCAAGGTTATGGGTGTTTTCGGCACTCTGCTCATAAAAGTTGCTGACCCCCATTTTAAAAGGTGTCATCATCAGTGCCCACTGCACTGCAAATGCCTGAAGGAAGCACTTGTGAAGATGTGGTACAAAGGAAAGACAATACAGATGCAGAACAGAAACAGATTTTGAACTTGTGGAAAAATGCTCACAGCTTAGAAGCTTCAAGTTTTGTAATGGAAGGGTTTAATCTGCAGATGGGAGTGACTCCTTTGAGAGTAACCTAGCAGAAATGTAGTCAAAGAAGAATATATCTGTGCAATACTATGACATGGCATCTTCTCTGTTAGAACTATCACAAAGAACCAAACTACATCCTTATGGAAGTGAAGCATTCTTTTGGTAGGGAAGAAGCAGAACTTCCCTGTAATGAATATAAAGATGAAGATTTCCATGGACATTATTGCTAATTTCCCATTATTTTAATCTGCTATTGTATTTACAATGAAACCAACATCCTCTCAAAAAGGGAATTAGCTGATAAAATACCAGCATTTTAAACTAGCCCTAATGGTGATGCAGTTTTGTTCATTCAGCATACCTTCTGATTTATGAAGACCACATGTGATTGCTCCAAAACACAAAACACCAATGCAACTCTTCCACCATGAACACCTGGTTGCCTTCTAGCGGAGACTTTTCTCCAAGCCTGATTTTTCTACTATTGGCCCTATAAACTTACCAGAGATAAGTAGTAATAGCCATTTTGCAAGTGGCTGCTACGGTATCTCCACCTTCCCTTCCACTGGTGAGTTGTGCTTAATTTTTATTAATGTGAGCCTCAGTTTTCCCTTCCTAATTGATGAGAAGATAGCGTAATTTTGCTCTTACACAGCTTCTCCACATATTCTTCGCTGTCAAAAGGACAAAAAAAGAAGTTGAGATGGGAATATAACAGGCAGCAAGTTCAGAACATGTTGATTTTAGTTATCGTTTCAAGTGGGTGAGCTGAAGTTGCATTTAAAACACGTGTTTCCTGGGACTCAAATACCCTTTAATTTCATAGTTAATTATGCTATAAACATGTATCAGGGCAAAATTCGCCCTCCAGGTGGCTAAGGTTAATCTCCAAAGTTTGTATTTAGGCTTCTAAATAAAAATGGGCTAATTTTCAGAGGTACTGAGTATCTGCATACCCTGATGACATCATGTAGAAGCCATGAGGTGGTTTTACAAACCAGAAGTGAAATCTTGGACCAGTTGAAGTCAAAAACAAAATTGCTGTTGACTTCAGTAGAGATAAGATTTCATCTGGACTTATTTAATAGATTCCCTCCCTAAACATGGACTTAGACTAATTTTAGGCAGTTATTTTTCTAAATCCTGGCCAATACATATAACAGGACAATAAAGAAATACTTCGTGTTTATTTTAGGCTTGTGTAAAGCCCTCTTTCCCAGTCCCTGCAAACAAAAGTTTTCATAGTTTCTAGGGTCGGAAGGGACCTGGGCAGATCATCTAGTCCGACCCCCTGCC